TTTACAAAATTTTTGTGTACTTTTAATCAGTTTAAAAATGGTAAATAATAATGATTATAAAAAGTGATGAAAATGGGGGCGACAAAAGTAGAGCAACAAATTGTATTCAACACATTTTATTGTCTTCTTGTTATTCTTCTTATTTTTATTCTTCTTCTTATTATTATTTATTTCAACAAAAAATATTTAACACATTTAAGAACAATAATAATTGAAAGTAATACATTAGTAATTGATAGAATATCCATTATTATTAATAACTTGCTGACAACGGCGCGGCATTGAAGCAATCAATTTCTGAATGACATTTTTGGGAAGATTTGTCCAAACTTCATGAATTTTATCTATCAAGGATTGTTTATTTGGAAACATTTGGGTACGAATACGACATTCTACTTCTTCCCAGAGATTTTCAATGGGGTTAAGGTCTGGGGATTGTGCTGGCCATTGCAAAACTCGAACGTCATTTTCCCTAAACCACTTTTGAACAACTTGTGAAGAGTGTTTCGGATCGTTGTTCTGTTGGAAAATAAAACGCAGTGGCATTTCCCATTCTGCATAAGGAAGCATAACATTCTGTATGATATCCCTCCTAACAAATCGGTCCATCGTGTCATTAACCTTGTATTGATTGATCGCCTCACACGTCTCATTCCATCAGAATTGAATATTTTGTAGCGCGTTTCATCACTGAACAGAACTTGTTTCCAGTTATTGACAGTCCAGTTTAAATGCCCACGTGCGAATGCCAACCTTGCTGCTCTATTTCTTTCCGAAATTAACGGCTTTTTACCTGGACGTCTACTAAATAACTTTGCTTCTACTAATCTTCTTTGTACTGTTCGTATACCAACCGTAATTTCTGGAATTTCGGCAATAATTCTAGATGCGGACTTCCAAGGATCATTTTGAACAATTCTTTTGATGCGTCTGTCGGTTATTACTGTTGTTTTCTTTGGCCTTCCCGATTTTGGCGACTTTTCTAAGTGTCGCCTGTCATTATACGATGAAATTATTTTAGATACACTGTACCGGGGTAACACAAACTGTCTTGAAATATCGGCTTGTTTGTTACCTTCCATGAATGCATTCACAACTCTTTGCTTCAAGTCTTTTGAAATTCGAATTCCTCTTGGCATGACTAATCCAGCATAGAAATGTTTGAAAAAACATAAAATAAACCTCGCACAATTATTTTGGCCTTTACTTTTGCTAAAACCCTTCTTTGGAATGAATTATTTGAACGTTGCTCTACTTTTGACGCGCTGCTATTAAAGATTAAAAACGGAATGTAAAAATAAATTCATTTGTTTTGTTAGTAAAAATTCTTGCTGTCATGGATACTCATAGCCTACTTCGTAGTTTTTAAATTTATTGTATTTGTATACATTATCATGCATATATAATTAAAAAATCGCGATTTGCAAATATTTCTCGAAGTGTTGCTCTACTTTTGTCCGATAGTAGATACGAAACAAAGCAGAATCGGACCTATGTTGATATGAAAAATAAATCCTATTCCTACGTGGGGAATCTCCCCACGAGAGATAGCAGATGTTTTATGAAACACCCTGTATAAATATTTTCAAATATCTCAAAAACCAAAGTTTTTAAACATATTTAATGCTTATAATAAATGTTTTTTTTAGGCCCAAGAATTCAAAAATGAAATAAAATACCGGGTGTTCCATAAGAAAATATATAACTTTGGTATGGATCTGAGTTCTGAAACACCCTGTATATTTCAAAATAATTTTAAATTATGCACATTGCCTTCACACATATACCCATAAAAATGTTAAATCTACATCTTTCCGTTTTCCGTTGATCACATTTTAAAACTTTTTCGTAGATATACAGGACGATTCAAATATTTTTTATAATAAATTTGTGGGGTTTTAAATGGAATGTTGTATAATAATTTTCACCTAGTGAGTGAAATAAATTATTAATCTCCTATATATCCAACCCTGCTAGCAGTCGATTAGTTGTTTATTGAGGAGAATTTTCCGTGAAAATTTCCTTTAAAAGGTAAAAGAAACGAGAGAGAGATTTTCCGTTGACCTTTACGGGCGATTTGGCGCAAGAGACAGGAAAATTCGGAAAATGGCCGACCCACAGATGGCATGGAAAAGCAGCTTTGTTCCGCCACGAGAGGGTTATGAAAATTTACTGATATTACAGACGAAAATGTGGCCCGGTGGCGAATTTCACGTAAAGCCACTTAGTTATTATCTGGTGTTACTTGCATTAAGCTACTATTGCAATATGCGAGTAGCGTATATGATGATGCGGTATAGAATTAGCTGTTGCAATGTATCTGTGGATGGTCGCAGTGTAGTGTTGCCCTTAATTTAATTATTTAAAATATCAGATACGTATGATAGTGACCTACTATTTAAAATGCTATCTATGATAAAATTTTGTATCTGATTTATTGTTTAAGATATTAACAATATTTTGAAGTCAAACTTCTTACTAACAGCTATTTAAATTGAAGGATTTGAAGGATATGCTTTATAAACTTCCGAGTTAATATAAAACCGTATACTATTCTAGCTTTATAAGCTTACAATGTTTTTTAATTTTTATTAATAAACGATAATTCTATTACCCTGCAGGACAGTTATGATCATTAAACCAAAATACTACTACATCTATATCTCTGACTACTACTAACTGCTACTAACCAACAATATGTTTTGCGTACTCTGTGATCTGTTTTTGTCGAAATGAATTGTTGAAATTTTTGTTCTTTATTCATGTTGGGGATTTATTTTTAAATGAATGTTAATCGTTAGGTAACCAGTATTTCTTTTGCATAATCAAAATTGTCACTCTAAATTTTACATAACCAAATTGTCACCTAAATCGCTGTCTTTTTTAGACAGATATCACTTGTCTTGTCATTATTCAATTCATTATTCGAATTCTCAGAATGTTGTTAACAAAAGTTTCATCTTAAAATAAAATTCTAATCAATCACAATTGTTTATCTCCATCATTTACCGGATTAATAATACAGAATTTACAGCTCAATTACAAACAATTAATTATTTTTAGTGATTTACAGTAATTTTATTAAATTATACGAATATTCTCGTTGATTATTGGTTTAAAATAAATATGACAGTGTGAGTGAAAACGCGAGTTATTAACTCTAAATTCTAATTCTGAGCTGGCAAATTAGCTAGATGCTTTACCTAGACCGTTATTCAGAAGCTACAAACCTTTCGATAAAAATATGCATGAAAATTTACTTCCTAGCACACAAGGTTGGTAAAATATTAAGTTTATCATAGTAATTTTGTTAGCCGCGTATGGCATAGAGATTTTGTTTAAATTTTTCATCGGTGTAGATTATCACGAGATAATAAGGTTAAATTGTTTTACAAAGAGGTAGATCTACCCCGAATGGGGTAGCTGTGACAACACTGCCTCTATCGCTTTTCCGCTCGCTAGCTAGCGCGTCACGGCCGTCTCGCATGTGTCTCGTGGCCGTCAGTCAAGGCTGTGTGTCACGGCCTTGAATTTTTATTCCCAAAGCGCGTAAAGAAATTTCACTTCAAAATTTATTTTTTGTAAACCCGCGACATCTAACGGAAACCAATTTGTTAGTGGTATTTTACAAATAAATAAAAGTTTCCTAACCGACAAAAAGACAAGGATTTTATTAAGCACAACATAAATAAACATAATCACTAAAAACGATCAAAATAATGATAATAAATTAATAAATGATAAACTACTTTATTTTAAAAACTGAAATAAACATAACATGAGTAAAAATTAAAAACAAACTAAAAATAATTATATACAGAAAACTTAAAGCTGATTGGTTTTAGCGCATTAAGTGATTGTTATCAGGTAGTAATTTTTGTTAATTTGATTTTTTTTAACTTCATATAACAGATTTTTAACAGAAAGCCAACGAAATAAACGTATGTGCTAAAAAAACTAAAGCGTTCTTGAATAGTTGTATTTGTATATTTTAAGTAGTTGTTTCTTTGTTCTTTGTTTTTTTTTGCTTCTGACTACGAAACTACCTCCTGAAAGGATAAAGCATTTTTTGTCGGTTAGGAAATATTGCTTTATTAGTAGAATACCACTGACAAATTGGTTTCCGTTGGACCAATGCCAGTGGTGTTTACAAAAAATAACTTTTTTATTTTGTGGATTTTCTCCTAGTGGCAAAGACTTTTCAAGAAATAAACCAGCTACAATGGTATAGTCATTATTCAAAATTATTTAGTCTTCTGCTGAGTACATCTTGGCCCACTCGTGTATATTTATAAATATCTGCTGAAAATCAAACAAATCAAGTGCGACCTCAAAAAGAGGTAACCATTAAAAATATCACAGAGTTCTAAAAGCATGATGGCAGGCGCTAAGAAGATAATTATGTTTATGATTTCTTTTATTTAGCTACGACAAATTAACATTGTCACTCGTTTTTGACACAGTTTTGTATTATCAGCTGTAATTACGAATTTTTGGTTTAAATGAATTGTGTTTGTATTATGTATTATGAGCTGTAATTACGAATTTTTGGTTTAAATGAATTGTGTTGTGATACTTTAAGCTTAAAAAGCTTAAAATTTTTTACTAGCAGACGAACATTGTTTTTTTAGAAGTGTACAAGATATCTTAATAGCCGTAAACGATTCATCGCAACTTTATTAGAATATATTGAACGGGAACGCGGTAGTAATGGCTCTTTATGTCCCTTAAGTGCTGTTAAGGAAGTGAGTTTTGTTGATGTAAATAAACTAACTTTAACTGTTTATATATTTATAATTATTAGGAAAGTAGTTAGTTGTAGCTTTTTTTGTAACTCTTTACCTAACACAAAATTTCAGTATCCCTAGATCGTATTTACAAGAGGAAAAACTTTTATTGTCAACATTTTGAGAATAATGCTTTTTCTCTTGATTCGGGGACATACTGTAGATTTACAATCTTTAATAAAGCACACTATTTAACATTATTTGTTTCCTTACCTTTGAGCTTCCGAGATTTTGGAAGGTTAGTTCCGATTCTTCTCCATTGAGCATTATTGATACTGTTTCCGTCTTTATTAGTATATCTGAAAAAGAAAGAAATATTATTGTATTATTGATACAAGTAGGTCACCAAAAAAAACTTCAAAAGGACATTAAAACTTTATAGGGAAATGAACTCTTTTTCTTCTTGAGTTATAAAAAATCAACTGACTCTACAGAATAAAGATTTCTGGTGTTTCTAACTTTTTTCTTATGCTTAGACCGAATATAATTAGAAAATATCGCAAGGATGTTCGTAAATATTTTATTATGAAATGAAAAAAAACTTGTTTTCTATTTTTCTGGCTAAGTTGGAAACTTTATTTTGCCACATCGACGTTTTCTTCGGGCGTTAAAAGAAAAGCTTTATTACCTTTTTATTGAACTATGTAATTTATCATAAATAACAAAATAATCATATTGACGTTTAACTAAACTTTCATAACTTTATGTTGTTTGATTTTTTCTAGAAAATGTTTTAATCTCTTTAAATCTTTACAATAATGTATCAAATATTGTAGATGTAGATTGTATGGGAGGAGGGAAGTGAATTACCGCGACCTTATAGAGTGTGTTCCTTAATGGCATGCTAATATTTAAGGGCTGATTCTTGGATTCTAAGAGAAAAACTTTTTATGAATATATGTCCTAAACATCTTAATTTCTGAGATACAGGGTGGTATAGTTTTCTAAAAGAAATGTTTCCCTAATAACTCTGATTTTATTATAGATATCTTTATGAAACTTAATACACGTCTTCTATGCATTAAAATACCTTTTTTGACGTACAAAGAATTTTATTAATTTAAACGTGCGTCGTCCATACGGGTTTTACAATGAATATTTTTTGAGAAAAAAGGAGTGTACTTCTCTTAAAATAAAAATTATTTTTAAAATCTCCATTCATTTCTAAACATTTTTTATCTCTTGATTTTTCTCGTCCGACGCGACTAGTTTTTGCTTAAAAAATTAAAGTCACTTTACTTCAGGGTCAAATCGCTGAAAACCTGATGCGCTGATTTGTGTGGAAATCATTTCTGCATTGGCTGGAAGGAAATTAAGAAATAAAACATTTTTTTTTGTATAGTATCAAAATAAGCATTTTGATATGTATCAAATATAACCATCAGAGATATTACAGTTGAGGGTTGGAACCTTTGGTGTTACACAGCAAAATAAAAAACACTAAATCACCACAATACACCAAAACACTTTTACTTTTACACTGGACGCGCGTTTCGCTAACCATGTTAGCATCATCAGCAGATGATTATAAACTATATCAGTTTATTGTTATGTATTGTGGTGATTTAGTGTTTTTTATTTTGCCATCAGAGATATTTTGAAAAAAAAATAGAAAATGTTACCTGAAAAGTTAAAATGTTTAGGACGTAAATTGAAGTTTGTTTCTTAGAATAGGCTCAAGAATCACCTCCTTAAATATTAGCATATCATTAAGGAACACCCTGTATATTTGCTATGAGGGTGGGTTTAAGAGGCTTACAACAAACAATGGGGTAATAAAAATGTGTTTGTTTGTTACTTGTTGGTCGTTTACATTATTGTCGTTTTTAAGGTTCTCCATCTCACTATACCTTCCGTTTCCATTCCATATCCGTTCCGTAATTTTGATTGTATTCGCGCTATACGTATGCTTCCGTTCCGTATCAGTTCCATACTTTTTATTGTAGAATTTATATCATTACGAAAGTTTTATTTTAAAAATTTGTATCTTTTGAAAAAGGTAATAGATTTAATTAGAGGATGAGAGTATAAATAAATATCAGCAAAATGTTCACATAACTGGTACAAATTTAAGAACTTGACAACGCTGTTTCGTCCGTCAAAAAAATGCATAGAAGGAAAGGATATGGAACGGAAGGGAAACGGAACGGATAGTGTGCATTGTCCTATTAATTTACATGATATAATATTTTATGCAAACGGAAGGGAAACGGAATGTAGCTGATACGGATGGTATAGTGAGAATTAACCTTTAACTAATTTTAATATTTCTAACTTTTCGAGGTAATTTAAGCGTCTACCTTTTATAAAGAACATATAGAATGTATTAATAATAATATTGAATATTCACACAATCAATGAAAATTGAATTAAATTACTATATAGAATAGTTAGAAATAAAAGAAATAAAAAGAATAAGTTAAAATTAGTTAAAAACGACAATAATGTAAACGACCAACAAAGATTTCTAAACACACCCCAATAGAAAATTTTGAAGAGCCATATGTCATAAAAACGCTTATATTTGCGAAACCGCTAAAAATTGTAAAATAATTTGAATACAAAATCCATTTTTTAGGAGCTACAGAGGCTTGACACACTATTGCCGGACCCTGTATATGCTACAAATTATACTTGCACATCGAAAGATAATTAAATTACCATAATTTTTTGATATCTATACTAATATGATACTAATATATAAAATCCTTAAGTGACTGACATACTGATTAATCACGATTCTGCTCAAACCACTCAACGTAAGAAACTCAGTTTTGGCATACAGGCTGATTCTAGGGTGTAGAGGTTCGATAAGAAGGGATTTTTCGAAATTCCAGTTCCAAGAGGGTGAAACCACCCCTCAAATATTACAATATATTTTATTTAAAAAACGGTCAAGTTTCCGAAAAAACGCTTAAACACGTATATTTTATTTTGTTTTTTACATATTTTAAGATTTTTTAAAAATATATACAGGGTGTTTCGAAAAATCTGGTCATTGATTAATCACGATCCTGCTTAAAGCGCTTGACGCAAAAAGTTGATTTTTAGAAAACAGATTGACTTAGGGTGTAGAGGTTCGGTAAGAAGGGATTTTTCGAAACTCGAATTCTAAGGGGGTAAAACTATCCCTCAAATATTAAAATATTTTTTATTTAAAAACCGGTAAGTTTTTCGGAAAAAACTCTTAAACACGTATATTTTATTTTGTTGTTTTACATATTTCAAGATTTTTTATAAATTTATACAGGGTGTTTCATAAAATATGACCATTGAGTAATCACGATTCTGCTTAAACTGCTTGACGTTTAAAGCTGATTTTTGGCAAACGGATTGACTGTGAGGTGTAGAGGTTCGGTAAGGACGGGTTCCTCGAATTCCAAGAGGGTGAAAACGCCCCTCAAATATTACAATATTTGTTATTTAAAAAACGGTTAGTCTTTCGGGAAAACGCTTGGACAAGCATAATTTATTTGTTTCTTTACATATTTTAAAATTTTTTAAAAAATCATACAGGGCGTTACAAAAAGTTGGGTAATTTCTTAACCACGATTCTGCTTGACGTAAAAAGCTTATTTTTGGCAAACGGATTTTTCGAAAGTCAAATTCCAACGAGATGAAACTACCCCTCAAATATTACCAAGTTATATAATAATATCGCCATATTGTTTTTTTCTCATGCTGACATAAATGTGAGAAAATTTTATCCGGTTTGTCTGTTAATGGAAATACTTGCTTTGCTTTATCATCACCATTACAAATGATTAATTCGACGCGAACGAAATCGCTGGTACACACTTGTTATTATAAGAGAGTGATCCTAGATATGTTACAAAAATATTATTATCAAACCTACAAAAATTCGATTTCTTACTTTAAAATATAATTCTTCTTTTTAGTTTCATTTGCCGTCATAAATAAAGGTATATAACTTTGTGTAAAATTCTTTATACCTACATACAATTAATTCATTTATTTATATTTCATATTACAAGATATTATAATATACAAAATAACATACTTTGATATTTGGATGCACTTTATTTTGCGTAGAAACGGTTATATTAAAAATAAATTTTGCATTTTCAAAAATATTTTTCAAAGGATATATTCTCGAAGCAACATATTTATGATGTTTTTCCGTTTGAAGGAGTAACTCAAATATATTAAATCTTTTATAAAATATCTCTTTTAGAACAGGTAGGTGCCCACTGATGATTACTCTAGAAAGGGAATTACATTAATACATTTTCCTTTGGTAATTTATTAAAAAGCGTTAAAAAGGTTCCCTTTTCACGATTTCACATTTTCGATTCTACGGCTTTAAATTATTCGTTGTACAATTTCTGAATGCCTGAACGTACTTTAGTTTTTTTCTAAATTTCAATCACATCTATATTTTAGTTATTTTTTTATTTAGTATTTTAAAAGTCCGCTTTTGAAAATATTTTTAAAATAAAAGCGACTTTAACAATTTAAAAAAAATATGTTAATATTAACTAAAAGATCAGAAATAAAACAATTCCGTCATTTTTTAGGGATAGCTAACAAAGTTTAATACACCCTCTACACTAGTGATGGGAATTACGATTCTTTTTAGTGAATCGAATCACGCGATTCAATTTCTCATATTGAATCAACTACTACGATTCGTTCATTTGAACCAGCACAATGCCTATGCACAATTTACATAAAAACAAGAATCGTAACTGGCACTACCGGCGATAATTTCATCGGAATATTACTTAAGGGACCAGAAAAAGAAATATACAGTTTTGTCATTTGTTTCTCAAAATATTGCAAATATAATAGATAATGCATGTAACAAAATGATGTTGCTTGTGATTTAATTGGACTCTGAATTTACAAATTTATTTAATAATATGGAAAAAACGGTGTACGCACATGCACAAAAATTATGAAAGTAAAAAAAAAAATAAATAAAAAGCCAGACGGCCTTCTGTTTTTTTATTTATTTTGGATAATACAATGGGATTTGAAATATTTTAAGAATATCTTATCTCGATGAATATCCTTGAAAAAACTATGCTATAAACGAATTCTCCCAAAAGGTACACGGTAAGTTTACATTATAGTTTTCTAAAACAATAGCAGATATCACCATTCGCATTGTGATCCCGATTCAATTCTTACGATTCTTTTTTAAGGCTCATCGTTCAAATCTTATGGATCCGTGCTGCCGTGCTGGCCACGATTCAATTGTACGAACAGTATTATATGTAATGAATTAACTCTCACGATTCTTTGAACGACCGAGTCACATTATAATCCCATTCAA